CACACACACACACACACACACACACACACACGATTTTGCTGGAGCTGTTGCTTGTCCAGAGGTTTGCTGCATTAGCGTGCTGGTAATCCCCTCCAACAAAAACCCACCCGACTCTTTTAATCTCAACACTACCCTCAATAAAAATACCAGTGGTCTCGCTCTCTCTGCACCTGGATTCTTTTACTCGTCTTTTGCAATTGTGTCAGGCATTAGCATATGGCAGGACTGGATGACAGGGGACCGAGGTGGTAAAAGAGAAGAAAAGAGGGCATATTTAAATGGAAATAGGGGCCAAGAGAGTGGGCTATCATGGAGCAGAGAGAAAGCAGATTTTGTGTACTGTTTCCCCAGTCAGATCCTTTCATGGTAGGGGAGAGAGGGTGGCCCTCTGTTGATTTAGGCTGCACAAAGGAGGCCTTAATCCTTTCAAGGGAACCAAATCAGTCCGCAGAGAAGCTTCTTGTCAAGCACGGCCATTGAACACCCCAATGGATGCCACAAATCAAGACCGGGAGGGAATCAAAGGCCAGAATATGGGAAGTGTGTATGGAGGTCTGGAACAAGAATTAAGGGTGGGGGGTTGGGGCTACAAGGACCTATCCCAACTATCTCACCCATTTCTACCAAAGCCCCGAAGGGGTCATAACCTTGGTCTCTTAGCCTCCCTCTCGCCCCGCGTGGTAACTCCCCTCCATTACAGAGGAATGTCCTTTCATGGGGGCACCTCCATTATCCCTGAGCCAGAGAAAATGGGGCTGCTTTTAACAGCAAATTAGTGACTTGATAATGAGGTCACATGTGGTGTTGGCACACTGAGGCCATAAACAGATGCCTTTCCAGCATTAGTACATCCTCCTCCTGCTCTGGCTTCAGCAAAGGCCCGGTGCATTTCAGCACATTTGAAACAAAGGCTCACCAAAACGCTCTCACAGCCTCACACACCGACGCAGAGAAATATTTTCACATTAGACGATAACTGTTTGACTCTTCATGTACGGCGACGTTACATACAGATGCACCCTGGGTAAACTGCTATTGTTTTAAATGCTCACGAATAGGAAATATGTGAAATATGAAGAGAACACCGCAGAGTGCACAAATGTCAACGTGGCGATATCTGCAGAAACTGCAATGGTAACAACACATCATAGGAACAGAAATGCATACCTTTAACTGCAGCTGTGCTGAAAAATTTCTCGGAGCTGGCATCGGAGACCTGGAAAAAAAGAGAGGAAAACATCACATTCAGCATAGAGTTAAAATTCCCCAGGATGACACAACAAAGCGACTTTGGTTCTTTTCTCCTCCACCAAACTTTCCAGACTAACTCCTTTATGACATTTTTAGTGATGACGTACAACAATGCCTGTGCTCACCGAGAGAACAAAACACATATGACACTCACAGCAGTCACTAAAACATAAAGCAAACTCTGCTCTTAAATTAGCAGAAGTTTTTTTTTTTAATATACAGTTCTGTAAATGTGTTGCTGAGCTGTGTGCTCCAGTTTTACTGGCACATGCAGTCATTGTTAGGGCACGTGTGTGCATGCCGCTTTCCCCAAATCCTGTCCATAATTATCAGGACAGCCTGAGTATCGTGATCAAAACCAACACTGGGCATCAGACTGAAACAAAACAAGTGGGACTTCTTATTCTGGCCACTTGATGGCACTGTTGCTCCGTGCCAATTTGTTTTTAAAGCCTCACGATTCCTCCAAGCGTCTCAGGCAGCGGCGCTCCGACACCGTCAGCGCGCTAGAATAACATGTGCGGTGATGGGATTTAAACCTGAATTAGACAACAAAAGCCACGCGTAGTTTTTAAAACAGGTCGCGCTTAAACTATATTTCAAACACTGGTTTTGACACATTTCACATCACCACAAAACGCCACAAAACGCACGCAGTGAAGACGGGAAAGAAACGGAACAACACCCGTTGAGCCCCATGTGAAGACGGACTGACAGCTTTCTCTGAATAAAACCAATTTCTAATAACTGGCTTTGTGGACTCACTCGCTTTGGTTTGATGCAGAAAATGTGAATTCCGGAAGATTACATTTTAAGAGTCGCGCTTTGTTTTCTTCTTGACATATTCGAAACCTGCGGCCAGTGACAGCTTAGTTATGCGCACTTGTCTTTTATTTTCACCTTAAGCACGGCAATAAATTCAAAATAATAGGAAATGGTGCTCGTGAGAAAGACATTTTTTATTATTAAAATCACACACTTGTGTTTTTCACTAATGCAGCACGGACAGGATGTAAACAATGAAAGCTGCAGGATAAATGGCAACACACAGACCGTTTTCTTTGCACGCTTTAAAAAAAGTCTTCCTCACGTTATTTTGCACATTACCACACACAATGACAAACACGTCGTGGATTAAGAAGCGGCTCCGAGCCAGCGCGCATACCTTCGATGTGGCAAGGGTAGCAAGGAGTCAGGATATTACTTTTCTCGGTCTGGTAAATATGGCCTCGTCTCACATTCTGCTTTTCAAATAGTATAATCCATACAAGAGGCAGCGAAGTCTACTCCGTTTAAACTGAAGACAGCCATGCGAAAAGAGAAGAAGCCTTTCCAAGAAAAAAATCCAAAGCCGTTCACAAAGCTACTGCGCCTTTTGGACAAAGAGAACCATGTGTCTCGCCACGGAGAGCTTTTGCATCAGCAATGAGACGAGAAGGGAGAAAAAAATCCTTTGATCCACCTTCCTTTCCTGCTCGGGACTCAGTGTGTGTGCGTGTGTGATTTTTTCACGTATATTCTCCTGTCGGAAATATCCGTGAGAGGTAACAAACACGATCCTGGAGGGTTTGTGAGTCGGTGCGCAGAAAGGGGCTGCGTCCGATGGAGCAAACCAATCCAACAAAGCGCACGGCCACTTTTCTCCGTGGAGACAGAAACGCAGGGAAATCACACGAGCAGTGAGCAAAAATTCACTAGGTATAGACCCACTGTCGCGCTGGGTGCTCTGACAGATTCCGATCGTGGGCACGCTACAGCCTCTCCCCGTCCGCTCCTAAGCGCCAGACAAACTCCCATTCATCCAGCAACTGCCTGCTTGTGTGCTGCTGCCTTAACGGTCGGGTCCTCCCACTTCCTGATTTCCAGGCGGTCTTGGATTCAACCACAGTAGTCCTCCTTCACAAGATAAACACACTTGTGTTTTTTGGGGGCTTCCGAAAATCTTGAACCTTGATTGCAGAAGTGCACATCGGCGCATTTACCTTTTGCGTAAATGGCGCGCAAAAGCTTAGACTGCAGCGCACCACTGAAAGATAAGGAGGTAGAGGTAGAGAGAGAGAGGGAAGAAGAGAAAGGCGAGAGGGAGGGGAGAGCCAGGGCAGAAAGATAGTCTGTCACTCTGTACAGAGCAAGATGATGTCAGCCGCTAATGAATTCCCCAGTAGGGTGCTGCTACCGGGAGGGGAGGAAAAACAAAACGCTTCTTTATGAGCAGCATGCACCTCCTCGCAGCCCACAGGCGCTGTCTTCCTGTTGAATCAACTCCCACTCCACTGGCCTGAAGGGAGGTCAACTGGTAATATAAAAAGCACTTTGGGTCATTCAGCCTCCAATTTGAGCGCTGAGCTCTCCGTGGTCCACCCCGACCAGAAAGCTAACTAGCTTCCAGCCCTGAAACTACAGGAACAAGCCGTGCCTACTGACTGTATGAGGCTCCTAGGCTATGTGAGCTTATTTGTTTGGCTGTGCAGGATAACAGAACATTGCACCTTCTAGTTGTTTCCATGTCTTGGTCTGAAAGCATCACATTGATTTAGAGGAACACTATTCTGCAGGGTTCCCACTTCTGATCTGAGAAGCAATGGCGCTCATGCTTTTTTTGCCAAAATCACACCAAATGAATCCGGACGGAAAGAAAATCCTCTTAATAGTGCGAGCGTTGCATCCTATGGCTTGTCTAATGAGCACTAACCCACTGGCTGGGAGGTCAGTGGATGTACAATAGAGCCACGTTGCACAAGCTTTTGCTGCCAGCTCAGCCCGAGCAACCACAGAGCAGAAAACAGACTTAGCTCATAGCTGAGATGCTAATCCGTCCCTCGGTAACGGAGAGACGGAGGATCTGTTGGCTGGCTGGGAAAGGCCATACAAACATCAAGTCATGGGAAATGGGATATACAGTGGCCTGAGATTTACCACGGCAAAACAAATCCTCACTTTGAGCTAACACAACAGCATTCCTCCAAACTGGAGTCAGATTCCCAGAATGATTAAGCAGAACATTTCACATTTAGCAGAAGAGAAAGAATTAAACACACACTTTGTGGGGATGTTTCTGGAAACAGAACAAAGGATGTGAAGTACCATCAGGCAATGGGAGGGAGGTGACCGGGAAAAGTCCAGCCACTTGGTTCAGCTACAGAGGACAAATGCTCGGTCACAGAGGGCCTGGGAGAAAGACCAGACCATGTGTTCATCGAGTTAGAGGCTGCTGTTAAGCATCCTTGTGTATGCATTGTGCGCTGAACAGCTTTAACTAATGAAATAATTAACGTCTTGATTGCTGCTGCTCATAGGCTGGGAAAACATCTTTGATCGCTGCAGTGAAATGATGTCGCTGCAGACCCACGAGCTCTGTGTGAGCACCAAAGTCTCAAATGAGGTGCAAATGTAAAAATGGTGGTTACATGTAATCAGATCACATGGATTCTTGTGTTTAAAGCGGTGATTGTGAGGAAACATCAAGAGCGTTTTGTGGTTTGGCTTCATGATATGTATTTATGTGACTGCCACTGACAGAAAATGGCTACCGGTCCTTTTCACAGGCCTGCGCGATGCAGCAGCAGCAGCTACGAACAAGCTGTTGTTCTCCATTCGAAATGGTCATTATCAGATGTGAGAGCGACCGCAAGTCTGTGATTACAGCCCCACTGCCAAACAATCGCCCGGATCTCACATTATTTTTAATTCAACTGAAATGGACGGAGACAAACACACATTCAAATGAGAACTCTGCACAATTTCACATGGAAAAAAAATCTTCTGTGCACGAGAATGAAGCAGCGAGATCAAACGCAGCGTCTGGATGAATGCTATGTATCTCAGTAATTGCTGTCTGGGCATGCAAGTTCTATCTATAGAGCATCAGCTTCAACACTGACATTTTGTCATCTTTTATTCTGTTTTTTGGACGCTGATTCTCCACTTCAAAGAAGCCATGAACATGTTTGTCTCCCCCGCGAGCGTGGTTTAATTTTACAGGAACTCTCCTAGATTACAATCGCAAGGGACTGGTTTGCCTTTATGAGCCTTCCTGCCATTACGCCAAACTACCCTCATTTAAAATATTACTGATAAGTGTAAGATGAGTGCTGCAGATGTAACATGTTAAAAGCTCTTACTACATTTGCCTGTTGGCTCCAAACTCTGTTGTTGCTTTGCAGTGCTCGTGTATTCACCCTGACACTGAACAGAGTC